GATCTGTTTGGATGAAGCGATGGTGGTGCTTGTGATGCATGGATCTGTGCATCTCAGTCTGCCTCGCAGACCTTTCAGCATTTTTTGCCTGTTTTTGTTCTTGCCTCAGTGGTGCACAGAATTTTTAGCTTGCTCTCTCAGCTGCCCAGTCCCAGCCAGCTTTTAGGGTTGTTTCTGAAAAGATAGTGGCAGCAAAGCTTTTTGGAACAGGGCCCCTTTTTTACCACACATCTGCATCATGCAACAGGCCATGGGACTTTATGCCTTGTTATTGACTGAGCAGTGTTTCCCCATTAAAGTGCCAAGATGCCGTGGAAAGATGAGAAGAATGGAAGCACATCAGCACTTGCCTGCAACTCCTGTGACATCAGCTGGGACCAGAGCCCTTACACAACTGGTACACAGTTCATAACGTGCTTGCTTTAATTTGGCTTTTGAGATCGATTGACTTTCAGTCCTGTTGGAAAATTTGCTGTGTCAAATTAAAAAAAAAAATACAACAAAGGTCACAGCATGGCATAATGTTTTTATATAAGGCAGGACAAACAGTACCAGTCTGCCATGATGCAACTAGTTGTCTGAGGAGCTCAAACTGTTGCTGCATGTAGAGATGTGGAAACTGAGGCAAAGAAAACTAAGCGACTTTCCTGTGGTCCTTTGGTGAATCAGTGGCAGTGCTAAGCAGTGGGACTGAGGCCACTAAGTAACCTCTTAAATGTAGCCCTTTTTACTGGGGCATAGCTAACGCAGAGAGTTCAGCGCAGTGTTCATTGGAGGTTTGAAAGCAAACCGTGTCCCCTCTCGGCCTCAGGGGATGCCATGGCCTGAGAAAACTCAAAAGTTCCCTCAGTCTGTAATTGCATGGAGCCACATGGGAAACTATGGTTTGATTTGCAGTCAAGGGAATTTGTACCATAGGCTGAGGGTGGCTGGCTTTACTGCAGAAAAATCTCCCAGGTGACCAACTCACGTTACTGGATTTCAGTGTATAGACTGCGTGTCTGTGCTGTCCCACCTATCACCTTCATGATTTGAAAGTCGTTAGTTTCTGTTCTTAGATGATGAGAGAAAATCCAATTCTGTGTTCACGACCGGGGGTGGGGATAGATGGGGCTTGGTGTATGCACAGCTGGTCCTCTCCTGCTCCCCTTCTTACCTAAACTATGTTCAGCCATTTCCTTCCCATCTAAAATAGCTGCTTCATTTGCTCTACTGCACATGTACATACTCTATCTCTCTCTGTCTCAGTTAAATAGGTTGCAATGGCAATTGTAAAACTGAAGCAGGTCATATGGTTGTTTCAGCTGAGCTTAAATGTGCCCACCCCGATCAGCTACATTTCTAAATCAGGACATGTAAGGAAAAAAAACACCCCAAATCCTGACGTGGTGATCAAAGCTGCAGCTGCATCTTTTGGAGGTCTTGTGTGCAAAAGAATCCTTTCAGAGGGGGTGTGAGATTTGTGTGTGTGCTGCATTCTCCTTAAGACAGCATTGCAAGCAAGCCAGCTAATGCATCGCTGCCTTTGGAATCAGCTGCTACGTCACTGATAGCACTTGGCATGTTACAGTGCTGGGATCGATGCGGGCTTCTAGCTGCAATGTGTGTCAGGTATGTGCCGTAAATGAATGCTCCTGGGTGTTAAAAACCTGGAAAAGATTTGTCTTTTTGTCTGACTGTGGGCCTGGGCTCACAGAGGGGGCTGGCTTTCTTGTGTTCAGTGTCATTTGGGCTCCACGTACAGAGGCTGTGTGTGATGTGTTTAAGAAAAAATAGCATTTACAGAATGTGGCTATGTGTTAGAGACTCCAGTATCAGAATGGCACCATCTCTGTGCAGATTGCCTCTTGTGGGGGTGTTGCAGCAGATCATGTGCAGCAATCTGGTGACAGTGAATTCAGCTGCTAGCAGGCATGATTAATGTTCGTAGCCTGGGTTGTAGCTGATTCTTTAAAGTCAAGCTCAGGAGCCAGAATACGTTTTTTCGTGACTGTGACATTCAGAGCCTGGTTGTGTTTGGATTGAGGGGCTGTGGGTGGTGTTGATGAAGGGAAGCTCAAACAGTTGGAAGGTGTTTGGATCAGAGCTGGCTGGGAACCCAAGTCATGGTTCTGTGAACATTTAGAGGGCGTTTTCAGCTCAAGTTGGGATTAAATGTCAAATCCCCTCCCCTTAAAAATGATTCTGGACCTGAAAGGTAGCATGAACCCTGGAAACACTGGGAATGCCAGCTCCCAAGCTTGAAAGTTGGGCCCTGACTCTGAGGCATTCTTGCCTGGTGGGTTCTTGAAGAGTTGCAGATATTGGAAGCCCAGATACCCTACAGGCTGCAGCTGAGCCAGGTTGATGCAGGAAATGCATTGAAATCAGACCATTTCCTTGGTGTCAGTGGGCGGATAAACACCCATGAAAGGAAACTCATCTTTTTTTTTTCCTGACCAGTTCTAGATCTGGTGTACTTTGCAGTTTGAATTTGCCTCTGACATTCTCCAGTGCTCAGCTAGCGAGATTAAGCAAAGGCCGACAGCTGAAGTAAGGCATTTAGTGGCTGGATGACTGGACCAGATGTTTCACTTACAGCCAAGAAGGGATCGGTCTGGTGGCATCCTAGCACTTAGTGATCAGTCTGGTGCCACCCAGATAGCACCTTACAGGGAAGTTGTTGAAAAGCTCATGCTTCTCTGAACCAGTTAGTCTCCAAGGTGCCACCCTATGCTGCTTCCTTCCTGTCTTCAGCCTGACATGGCTACCTACTTCTCAGCATGCAGGAGATGTCTCAACTGCTTTCCTAATTCCTGGTCCACCTTGAGCACTTCCAAAGTTGTACCTGCCCGTCCAGAAGGTAGAAGGCTGAGCCACCTATGCGCCTTTGCTTCTCCTGCTCCTCACCCCAGCAAGGTGTGATCTGGCATAGAGCAGTTTCTAAGTGGATGCTTCAGATCAAAGAGGAGTGGAGTGAGTTGGTCTCTAGAGACCACACAAGTGATGCCCACCACCTGAGAGAATCTGACCACAGATGAAAAAGCAGCCAGTCCTGACTCTGTTTTGTAAAGAAGAGACTGAACCTTCTGCCTGGTCTCCGCTATCAACATCTGTACTCTCGTCCCTGATTTTGGGGGTGTAGGGAGGGACTGTACAGACTCAGAATGGGGCCTGTATTTTGTGGCTTTTGTACAAGGGGCCAAATCAGAGCTCCCAGCCTGGATGCCTTGAATTGCAGGGGTGGGGGACGAGAATCTGAAACCTCAGTCCGGTTGGGTAGCTCATGCCCATCCACTGTCTCTTGAAGGATAGATCCCTGTCCCTGCAGCTGCTCTACTTCACTTCCTTCTCTGCTGCCACAGGGTGTCACTGTCGCCCTTGGCTTTTCTCTTAGCTTTCTTGGGTACAATTTGCTTGTGTTATTACTGTTTGCCTGGATTTTATCAGAAAGGCATCTTTCACCTCTCCTTCCCCCAGGTCACCCTATTGCCCTTGCTTCTCACTGATCCAGGCTTTTTCATCTTGCCCTAAAAGCTACGCAACTCAACTTGTCTCTGTGGGTTCTTGCTTCCTAGCAGAAGGATCCTTGGATTGTGCTCCAGTTCCTCAGCTGTCACTTGAGCTCTCACAACTTCTGTGCCCTGGGATTAGTGCTGTACCAGCTCAGACCCTTGTGATAATAGGGAATGGTCCCAAGTCAGAGAAGCACTGAACTTTGTGAGATTGGGAAGTGGAGTCCCATGTCTGTCTCACTGTGGTTGAAGTATAAATGTGTATGCCACGTTTCATTCCAGCTTCACTTACTTTCCCTTTTGCCCTTCTTCTTCCAAAATCCTCGGTTCCTTTTTGCATGTATGCTTGGCACTCACATTGCCTTTCTGTCCCGGTTACTTATACAGCCTCTGCCACAGTCTGTTTTTATCCTCACAGCAAATGCAAGTGCTGTTAGCCCCATTTTCTAGACCGAGCTAAGACAGAGACAGCTGAAATGACTTGCCATGGGTCATGTTGATCATCAGAAGCAGGGGATGGAACTGAAGTGGGGTCCAGACTAAAGCATTGGGCCATCTGAGGTCTTGGCTGAATAACTCTTATCATTCGCTATGTGGCAGGAGGTTCTCATTCTCCTCAACTCATCCATGGACTGATTCTTTATCGTGTCCCCACCCAACATGGGGACTTTATTTGCTACTGGATCAGGATTTGATTCTCTAGGATTATTGACCCAAAAAGAAACGTCCCTGCTGTCCACCTTTGATATACCCATGTGGCTACTAAGCAAGTGCTGTTGGCTAGCCCCAGCTGCCGTCTGCGGCACAGACTCTGAACACATGGATGCTGTCCTGACAGTTGGGACAAGGTGCGTGGAATCCCTTTCTTCTCAGGTGACCCCCTGTGGGGATGACCATTGTTGTCAAGCCTACTTTACAGTATGGAAGCTGCAGCAGCGATGCTGTCTCTTAAATCCAGTTACATAACTCGAGGCTCACTCCTCCCTGATCAGCTCTTTTCTCTCGAATGCAGCTCAGGCAGTGCTACTCCTCCGTCTGTGTGTACACACTGTGTGCCACAGGGAGAGAGTAACTGAGCCCGATAAGGGGGAAAGGAGGGACAAAGGTTACAGATCCCAGATGCTCAGGGACGTGCTGCTGTTCAGATCTGATTGCACCGAAAACCGTGCAAACCCGAGAGGCACTTGAGAGCTTTCTCCTACAGGATTTTCAGCTGCAACGTTAAGAGCAAGCACAGCAGGAGCCACTGTAAACAAGTCGTAGGCAAAAATAAAATCCTGCCTGTGCCTCTACGGAGCCGGCATGGAGGATTCTGCAGAGGAAAGCCAAGAGATGAGGTACCACATGCTCCAAAGGTAAGAATTGGCCAGCTCTTGGGTATGAAGGGGCTGTATGAGGAGTACTGTCTGCTGGATTTGGGAGTACTGGGGACTTTGCCTTGGAAAGTCAGTGCTGAATCCTGAATATTTTTCATCTGTGATTTTGTTTTTTTTTTTTTTTTTTTTCCCC